AAATCCCAAGCCTTTTTGTAACTGAAATAGTAAAGGAGCCAGGGGCTCCACAGACTCCACGAGAGGCCTAATTACTGCCACTCAGTTTTCCAGGGAAGGTACTCAGCCACAGCAGTCCTAAAGCAGTCAGCTTAAATATTTGGATGAAAATTGTAGAAAAGCTTAACTAGAATAAATACTTGTAAGCTCTTGTGAACTTGCTGCGGTATTCCTGACTTACCACAGGGAGCTGTGTACTAAATAAAATCAATAATGTAGCGGCTGGTCCTAACTTCTCCTGCATGAAGCTGCTCTGTTGTTTTGTCACAGCTATGGCCCTGTTTTCTCCCCTAATTTGTTGGGCTTTCTCAGTGAAATTGAATCCCACGTCACTTCAGGCAAGTCTTGGAGAAGTTGTTTTCCTCGGTGCAGATGGCTCTTTCCTCCAGATGTGTGAGGCAGCTAAGAGCTGCCTCAGTCCTTTCTTAACCCTTCTGCCCATCTTGAAGTCACGCTGACACTGTGGCCGCAGTGGTACTGTGGTTCTTGCCCCACTTCCAATTTTCCCGTGACTGTAAGCTGTCGTGCGTGTGAGTCCCATCATACACTGCACAGGCGCCTGTTACCTAATATAGGTTTCTTTGGTTTGTTTGGTTTCTTTTCATGACTGTTTGTTTTAACAAGGAGGAAGTAAAATTCATGTGCGCAGCATCCCCTGGGAGATGTCCCTGCTGGAAACCCTTGTGGCAACTTGGCTCTGGCGAGGGTGCAGCCCTTCGTGTTTGTGGCTGCAAATGTTCCAGCCTCGCATCTTCAGCCCGAAGCAGCCAAGGAGAAACCTGTCCCCTCGCCATTTCCCTTCACCCTGCTTGTTTCACTTGGGAACACAATGGGCTGTCAAAATTTCCTGCCCTGTTTCCACAAAATCCTTCCTTTCGCTCCGAAAAGGATTATTTATCTAAAACTGCTAATTGCATAAATTGTCAGAACAATTGTTTAACCTGATTTTAACGTGGAGAGCAAAGAGATGTAAAGGTCTGGAGGACTGATGAAAGTGCCCTTAAAGTCCTCTGTCAAAGCAAAAAAAGAGAGTCTGGTGTGTTGCCATGAACGGCCCTTGCCTCTCAGAAATTAAAAATCATGTAGTATGGTGTACATCTGGTACGATGCCTGTTTTTAGTATCTCTGTTGAGTGTATTTAGAGGTAATTAAAAGTAATAGGGAAGAATATAAATGTTTTCCAAATAAGCGAGCCAAGAAAAAATAGAGGAAGGCAGGTGTGGTTGATTTAACCTACCACCACTTCCTAACTAATCTTTCTCTAATGATGTAGAAAGAGACTAGGTGGCACCTGGCAAAGTATTTTGACATAACAGATTCATGAGGTAGAGCTACTTGATAACATCTTTGACTCATCAGAAACTTGCCTTTCCTAAGGGTAAAGTTAATAATCCTTGAATATGAGGATTTCAGTGTTTTTTTACTTGTCAGCAGGGATGCAGATTTATTCTGTACATAGATTCTTGTAGTGCTAGAGACAGCCCAAACTTTTATTGTGTGTAAAAAAAGTAAAATGACACAAATAGCCAATTGGAATCAACAGTAATTTTCCATGACTTCAGGTCCTTGGCTTTGCTAGTTAAGTAAAAAACATTTACATTTTCTTAGTTTGAAGAACATAGAGCTGGTAGCAAGTTTATCGATCATTATGCATCGTCCTTAACTATTTTAGGCTATCTTTCAATGTCTATAACGCCCATGCCATCAGCTGCTTCAACTGTTTTCATCTCCTCCTTCAGAATGATATTCTTCTGATCACCTAAATGATTCTTTTCCCTCTCTGCTGCTTATCAACAGTGGGCATTACTTGAGGGTGATTTTATGAAACGGCTCTTTAGTGCCTTGATCATCTTCCCAGAGGTCCTTCTCTCCACTTTTCCCAGGAGGAATTCGGCTTTCTCAGAGACAGTGTTTCAGATGAACTTATGCGAAGTGCTTTGACCAATGGAATCAATACCTGCCTTGCTTTCCCTCTCTTTACTGGAATTACCTTGCCTGTATAGTGTACATACGTGTCTGAGTTGGCGAGTCTTTAGTTCTGTAGGAGACATGAGCAGCACCCTGAGAGGAAGCTGGGCTACCAGTAAAATGAAAGTGGAGACTGCAGGTAGCTGGGCTATAGAGCGGTCAGGACAGAGAAGGTGACGGTAGCAGTGACTTTACTTAGAGTAGCTGTAGCTGTATATACCTGCTATCTCCCAGCTTTGTGTTATCTTCAAGTCTTAACTAGTGGTCTACTAATTCTGTGTCAAGATCATCAATAAAAAAATTTTAAGACCATTCCCAATATGAATCTTCTGCAGATCATGCAGTAATTGTTCCCAAGCAAAAGTTTCCTGCCAGTACACCTTATCATCTTCGTACTTTTAATCTTTTCCAACTTCAGTTTTTGTACTTTCCTCTTGCCTTCACTTACATGTTTGACAAAGTCCATATGGTTGAAATGCACTACAGTATTGATTTTTTCCTCTTGTCTGACAACTATTTTATTCCAGGTAATTAAGTATCAAGTTTTATCTTGCATGGTCTACTTTTGGTAAACCTAGATTTTGTTTTCTTCTGTGTTCCAGTTGTCTACCTACCTCTAGTGTTCTCTTCATCAAAATTTGGGGTCATACAATTAAGATCAGAGTTAGGGAATTTTTTCGATACGTTAACTGTGTATGATTTTGTTATTCTCTAGTACTGTGGTACCTCTCTTGATCTCATAGATATATTACTTCTATTACTCCGTGTCCAGAAAGAAAATCAGTCTTTCTGAGTTTACAGTACCGTGTGTCTTGGGTTTTTTTCAAGTTTTTGGAGTTTTAATTTCTCTCTTTCTTTTCCAAAGTATCTGTTGGTTTAGTCACGTGTTTATCAGTACGCTAATGCAGGGCATTAGTTGCAGTTTCCTGTTAATTCATTAGTGTGTACAGAAAAACAAAAGCCTCAATCAAGGCATGCTCTGAATTTACACCCGTTCTTAATTTGCCGATGCTTGTATCAGTGACAGGCTCAAGCCTGTCTGACTTTGGGGGGTTTATATAACGTGTACCATATGCTTGCCATTCTTACTCTTTCTGCACGAATCAGCCAATCTGATGGGTCTACCTGTGGCAGAGAGCAGAGCTTTTCAGTCCGGGTGCTGCCTGACGAGTTCTGACTCATGGGTGCTGGTGAATCTTGCTTCGGTGTTTTACAAACTCTCCGGCTATTCGCTCCACCCTTCTGCCCTTTAACAGAAGGATCTCAGGGGAAGAGGTTTAGATACCTCCATTGCTGCCACGTTGCACCTGATTTTGAGCTGTTGATGAAGGTAGACCCCTGCTATTGTCATACCTCGGAAGTGCAACTGCTGAAGAGCAGGCAGAGGTTTGCACCTCCTGCCTCTGCTGTCGGGAGGGGTAAGTGGGGTCAACAACAGCTTGAGTTGTTTTGGGCTGGTTCCTTAGAGTGAGCGGTTGGCAAGCGGGAACTGCATACGGGGAACATGTGTTCTGTCTCTGGAAACAAAAAAGGCAAAGCGAAAGTAAGGATGAGAGAAAATAGCTTTATATTTATAATCAAAAGTGACTTGTTTGAAATACTCTTAATTTGAGTGCACGCTCCTATGTCTTTTGTACCTCTAAGGACCCCTAGAGGGCACGGAAGTTTTTCTCCATCTTGAATATTTAACTTAATAGTTCTACTTGGCTTTCTTCCCTGAAACATAATTGTAAGCACATTGTAAGTGAACATTAGATAGAAAAAAATAACAGCATCTAACTAGGTCCTTCTTTTATGCTGCAAGTTGTTTTCTTGTTTTTAAACACAAGCAGTAGAAGCTAGCGCTAGCAGCCAAATTCTTAAATTATTTTTTGTTTCGATTAGTCAGATGCTATATTCGTATCCCAGAGGAAGCACAATTCAAACTAACTAATAATTCATAAATTTATTGCAAACTTTGAGAGGCCTACAGTGTGAGCTGTCTGAGGAAGAGCAGTGGGTATGCTTTCACCACCACAGGTTGTGTTTCTGTAGAGGAGGAATTGGTACGGGGAAGAACTAGAGTACCCTAACCTGAACCTCTAAGATCTCCAAACTTCATCTTATTTAAGAATTTTTAATATTTTTGTCTTGTTATTATATATAAAGAAATGATTACATTAAAGTACAATATATTTAAGGTAATGGAAATGTTAAAGCGATATCTGCTTCCCACTACTTCCTATCTAAGTAAGAGTTTTTGTAACTCTTACTCACCCTGAGTAGCATTTTTCTCCTTCAATGGGTTTTGCCTATTTCATCAATATTACATGGTAAGTCAGGTACTAATCAATGTGAATTACACAGCGATACTAATTCTTAGTATTGTGTTGCCACTTTATGATATTTAAATATATATCCTAAGGCTCTGGAGTAACGCTTACCTGAGAACATCAAGTTTCGCTTACGTAAAGCAGCTTCAGCGTTTGAGAAGGCTGACATTTTCCAGAGTGCTGAAAGAGCAGAAGGTAAAACAATCAAACAAACAAAAGACACCTTAAAAAAAATCTTCAGATTTTGTTTGGGGATTTTTTCATCAACTCATGATTTCGAGACCAGTCGTAGAGCTCTGGAGATCAGTTGGACTGTGAGCCTAGTCCAAGGCTGAGACCTTTGTGCGTGATGCCATGACAGTCAGAATCCTACTGGTCTTGTCTGGGAAAAAAAATGGACCTTTACACTACTCCTGAAGCAGTGAGAGTCTACTTACTGGGCAAGAAGCTGTTCAATAGGATAAACACAAGGGGGTTTTGTGCCTTTGTTCTGATAAGAGGATCAGCTGTGCTGCTTTACCCAATTACCCAGGGATGTCATGGGAGATGATTTTTTGGACCTTGGTTTTCCCACTGGAGTAGCATAACGTCATCACTTTGAATAGAAAATAGATCTAGATCTAAACAGCAGAGAAAGGCAGCTGCCCCTTCTAACGTCTCTGGGGATTTTGTGTTTTGCAGGAGATGCACGGGTGAGAGGTCAGACAGGGGTTCTCTCCGAGCGCCGCGGCTCCTACCCGTTTATAGACTTCCGTCTTCTTAACAGTAAGTGCAACCCTTCCTTCAGGTCTGAATATACAAAAAAAACAACAAAAAAATCTGTGTTGAAAGTTTACACACCAAAGTATCTCGTTTCATTCATTTCTGTAGTTCAGCGGGCTTCATACAGTCAGCATTAATGATTCTATTATTTCCACCCAGTGTTTGACTGTGAAATGTTTTGATTATATGAATACTGTCTATAATGCTGAGTCTGTCAAGTGAATATAGTAGTGCCGTGGGGTGTGCTGGGGAGGGGGCATGGGGTGCTTCAGAATTAAAAAGATAAACCTCTGTGTCCTTTAGCCTCTTAGCCAACAGTTGGAACAGATTTATGTGAGTCTGTTATCCGGTCATATAGAATTGGCACAGAAGGGGAACATGTGACAGCACTGACCAGTGGTTTACAATAACATTAATTTTTCCAACAATTAGAACCCAATCCAAAGCCCCATGGAGTCTTCTCATTGACGTCAATGGATTTTGGGTCAGGCCAGCAGTGAACATCTGTTAAAAATAATCTTAACCTCATTTTGATTGAAGTTATTTTGCCACTGTTGTAAATAAAGGAGGGCAAATCTAAAGGGGAAAAAAAAAATCAAAATCCTGTTGTTTTTTTCACCTGATGGGTTCTCTGTATTGATGCAGGCCATCAACATAGAGAATATTTTAGCCAGTGTCTATAAAATAAAATAAAATAAAATAACAGAGAAGTCTTAGTCTTGGGCCCTGTAGCATTCAGTCTGGATGCTGTGTTAACTCCAGTGTTCAGACACGGGCAGATCTCGATGTGTCTCTGTGTACTACACGGACCACTCCATGTAACCTTTGAAACCCAAGTTATTCACTGTCATCGTCAAAACAGACTGAAACTCCAACAGTTTGTTTAGTGATGACATTTTTAAGGTTCTACCGATTATGCTTTTCATTAAAAAGCAATTGTCAAACCAAAGTTTTACATCTCCTTATGCACTGCTTTCCCAAGCACCCGGGGAAGGGGGATAAGTAGGTAGCAGGGAGGGGGGGCTGAGGAAGCCCAGCCGCAAAGGGTGAGCTCTGGCTGGGAGCTGGGAGAAAAGAGGGGCTGATAGGAAGGGGAGGACTTCAACTTGAGATATTCTGTGATTCTATGACAGGCTCTGATCGGCTGCATTCGCCCAAGCTGGCAAAGTTAACTGCTGCCTGGCAAAGTGCTTGTTTTCAGTCTTGCTGATAAATGGTATTTTCTAGGTCATAAGTCCATTGGACTGCTTACTGTGGCTGAGGTAGAAAGACATAAGGGGTAAGATGGGTCCAGCAGTTTTCCCAGGACAAAGGGAATAACATACTGGTTGAGCAGAGCTCTAAGGGTAATTTAGTCCTGGCTTGACAATAAAAAAATCTGTAGAAAAACCTGTTTTAGGCTAGCTGGAAATATTAGTTTTGATGCCCTTATAAAGAGCGAGAGAAAATAAAACACTTCTTTTCATTCCTTTGCCAGGGCCTAAAGGGACTTTTATATTATTTGTTCATATACATCTATCTGGCAAATCCATTTCTGCTGTGCATACCACATAAGCAGCAAAACCCACAGTGCTACACATCCTATCAAAAAAAAACATATATAAATGTCACTACTGCAAACTTTTTTTAAAAGTGCCTAACTAATACTTACAGTAAAATTTTGGCACCGTGTTACATTTGTTTTGGGGCAATAACTGACAGACAGCAACCATATAATGAAAGCTGTTACAGTAAGGGAGGGATAAGGCAGAGAAAATTTTGTGGTAAATATCCTCAGAAGTTATAAAGAAATGCAGCATAAAATTACTCCAGCTTCTCACTAATTCAGATAAACTGCGCTTAAATAGTGATTGTTCCTTCTACCATCTGAAATATTCCAAATGACAGTACCACCGTTGTTTTAAAGTAAGGGAAAACACTGAAGCTCATTCTTAAACAGAGTCGACATTCATTTTGAAAATTGACATTTAAAGAAAAAGTTCAAGGCATTGCTACTTAATGTCAGACTAAAGATCACTTAAATGTAACTTTTTTAACATACTTTCAGATTCAGTCAAACTAGTGGATTTTTCCCTACTATGGCTGTTAAGGGTTAACACTGAATAGACCGTATCTTTTGTTTTTTCTGGAGTCCTGGAGTAAAGTCGCTGTGTAACTTAAGACACCGTTAAGTCTTTTTGGATAGGAAAACTTCCTGCGCTCTGAAAATGGGATCTTCTGTAGCCCTAATCAAAGCCAACTGGATTAATGTTGGCTTCTTGCTGTTTGAGCTAACGTCTGTGATGCCATCTACACATTCCTCCGGTGCCTCTCTGCAATACATAGAAACTTAGTGAGTGTTATTTTACCTTGTCAGTGCCAGGCTGTCAGGACCGTGAGGATTTTGCAGGATCCTGTCTGGAGGAGATGCCAGGCTTTAGCATCTGCCTGTTTTTCCTCTGCCTAGTTGCAGGCTTTCCTGGAGGTGTAGCTGCACTGGTGGATTTGGGCACTCTTAAGATGATTCGGAAATACAAAACTGAATGTAAAATATCCCTGTGTCACCAAGAACTCCTCAGTTCTGCATTGCGAGGAGCTTATGTTAGCCTCAGCCTCCTGAGTCATTCCCTGCAGCTTGTGGAGACTGGCATGACCAACCAGATACTCGCCAGAAGCTTTAGAGGAAGATAGGTAGCAACTCCTCTCCCTGGGGAAGCTGCGACAGCCGATGCTTGTTACCCAGCCTGACCTAAAGACCCCCAGGAGGCAAGCTAGCCATCCCTTTTTCCATCCTGCCATAAGAAGTCAAGGGGACCGCCTGCTCCTGGTGGCCACAGATATACCTCAGAAAAAAATAAGCTGGACATGGCAAACCTGAGGCTCCACGTTCACTAGGATGCCTGTGAACAAATATGCAGATTTTACGAACTCCTAACCTAAACGATACAAGTTTTGCCCAGCTGTATGGGTTTACAGGAAAATAGGGAGAGGGTTTCCTCTTCATGCAAATTAGGCATTCCTTAAAATGGGAACAGTGGAATTAAAACCAACTTAGCATTAGAAACTTACTTTCCAGAAGGGGTAATGGGATGGAATAGGCAAGTGTTAGGGGCCATCGAGCAGCTGAATACAATGTTTTAATGGTGTAAGATTGATTCCATATCAGACCTCACAAATTTTAGTGAAGTTTGACTCTGAACTTGGTAGCTCTAGCCTGTAACTGAACCTAACACAGGGTGACATTAATGATGGCACTTTACTGGCACTTTTACATTTCTGTGAATTAAATGAACCTTTTTGTGTTCACGGGACAGAAAAGGCGTTAAACTGAATATGTGCAGCGTAATAATCCAGAATTTGAAACACTTCTGCAGTGAAAATTAACTTGATCCGATTTTCCTTTTAGCAAAGGATAGTTTGGATTTGAGAAATAAAAGACCGTAGAGTAAGGCAGCAATAATTTAGTTTTCTGACTGACAAAGTTGCTCAGTGAGTCATTGAACCAAATCCCTGCACTGACTAACATGCATTGATTAAAATAGATTTCATTATCCCATGATGAGTTGTGCTGGTGACTGTGATGGTACTTTTCTTCATTGCATTAACCAAAAGTTTGAGGGAATTCCATGTGATAAATCTAGAATTGTGGGTGAGCGTGCTGCAATAACCAGGAAAACTTCGCCTTGCTCCAGTTATATCAGATACTTTGCTTAATTGCCAGATGAAATTAAGTAGAGTAACACAATAACATAGTTTACATCTGAGATGAGTAAGGTTTTACTTACAGATTTGCTTGTCAAGCTTTAAGTCAGAAGATACAGAGAATCTTAAGACTTAAACAGCGACTCTCCAGTTCCCATCTTCCTTATGCTAAGCTTTTCTCAGGATTGAATTTTTGCTTGCAAATGACAAAATTATTAGCCTCTAATTGGCTATATTTAAATAAGCCTGTCATGGAGTAATAGAATTAAAATTGTTTCTGTTTGCTTTTTTAACTTTTCCTGAAAAAATCTTCATTAGCCGCACTTTGTTTTTGTCACAATATCAGTCATGCCATAGCTTTCATTATCTTGTACCCACTGACTCTCAGTAAGCCATCCACAGTATCCTTGTGTCTGACAGAATTCACTTCTCTGTGTATTGATCTAGGAGGGATAACAAGGAAAGGATATAGTATGTGACCTCCAAAGTGGAGTCTCTGTACCAAAACGGTGTTACCCAAAGAGATTTCTGTTTTCTTACACCTCGCACAACGGAAACATAGAGTGGGATATGAGAATATCTAAAAGGTCAAAACATATCTGTAGACACTTCAAAGGTATAACTGCGCATTACCTAGGATCATGCAAGCAGAAGTTGAGTCCAATAAACCCCACCTGCTTTAAAGTTAGCTTAGCAAATTAAATTAGTATAGACTATATACTTTTAGTACCAGATTATGATAAACAAGTGATACTAGGTACCATTCAGTCTCTGTCTTTTATTTGCTGTCTGCTTTGAGTCAAACAAAATCCTCTCATTTTCAGTCTGTTTGCAAATAAAGTCATGCTTTGTGGGCATGTGATGAATTAGGTACTACAGAAGTGAAGTGTGTTGCCAGGGTTAGTAAGGGAAGATACGGACTCATGAAAAAGTCTCCATCTCAAAGAACCAAATTCTGTGGACATTTGAATCTGTGGTTTCTGCCTGTCTACAGAAGGGTCCATTTGCAAAATTTACATTCATTTTTGGTTTTGGATTTTGAACAACTCCAGGGCTTTCAGGTAGGGCCCATCTCCAGGGAAAATAAAACTTAACCACAACCACCAACCCAAAAACTGAACCATCAAGTAACCTGAACCCAAATGATTGAGGTTAAAAAGAGTTTGGTTAACTGTCTTGTTTTGTTGCCTTTGGCTAGAAAAAGAAGTGGGAGTGAGAGATGCCTTTTTAGATATTTCTGACCCAGGTTAAATTAGGACACACAAAGTCTTGTGAGGAAGTTTCAAGGGCTGATTGGATTACTCGGATCCCAACCCAGCCTG